CCCACCAACAATACCCAACAATACTGAGCCACGGATGCCGCCCGGCCTGCCTGCTGCCTGCTGCCCCCTATCCTAGCTCTTCCTCTTTGCCATGCCGCTAGTCCGTTGAATTGCAAGAAAGCAATTGCTAAAAGTGACAAACAGCCATAAACAAATAACAGCAAAATATGAGAGAAAATTAGGGCACAGACATATCCTTAAATTTGTATCATCTGCTTTCACGATACGTCCCTCGACGTAGCTTTTTTTTTAATTTGGCTGAAAGTTCAAACCACCCTCAGCCTACGTAAATCTTGACGATGTATGGCACCGTCCAGAAAATACGTCCGTTTGTCGTAGATTCATTCGGCAATGTACGGGAGCTCGGCGCCTGTGAAACTCAGGGTACGCCACCCCGCAGTACACGTATGCAATGCTGGAAAGATGTTGCCTACCTATCAGGCGCTATGAGAGCTTGCAAAGCTGAACTCAAAGCTGAACAAAGCTGAACGTAGCCGAAAGACGGACGTACTTTCTGGGTGATCCCTATTCTGACTCCCTTCTCCCGACAGGGTGCTCGGGGGACACTTTCGGACAGAGGTGCGAGTTCCGCTGCCCGGACGAGACCCTCGGCTGCTTCGGCACCGTCCTCTGCGTCCCGGGCCACTACTGCGCCTGCGCGCCGGGGCTCGGCGGCGACCGCTGCGACAGAGGTAAACAAATTCGTTTTGCATCTAGGTGTCGTCGTTGCGAGCGGCGGGACGTACAAAATCAGTTTCAACTTTTGTTTACGTTCTTATTTTTCGCTTAAAATCAAAAGTGACCTCTTGATGACTCTTTGTATTGTGACGTCATTGGCGCAGTGTGCCAGCCCGGAGACACCGACTGCACGCTCCCGTGCGACGCGCCGCCGTGAACGCCGTGAATCACCCCGCGGCTGTCACTGGAGTCAACTTGCACCGAAGAAAGACTAGTTCTATAGTCTTCCTACTCCTTAAGGTTTAATTTATTTTTTCTACATGCGGTAAGGCAGTAGAAAAAATTGTAAAAAAAATCGTACAATGTTGTTGTTTGTACCTACGATACTTTGATTTCTTTCGTGTGTTTTATTTGTTTTTGATCTCACAAAAGAAAGAGTCATGGTTGTGATAAGATAGTCGTCTTTTTATAAGTTAGTTGTAAATAACATGAGCTCAGGAAAGATGTAAGTATAGCCAGCCCGGTAATGGTGACATGTCACGCGTGTAGATGTAAAAATAATTTGCAAAATGAACTCCTTGTTCAGAACTATTTTCCCGACTTACGAACTGTAGTGAAAGTTGAAAATATTAAACCACCAAAAAAATGTAAAAGTTTCTGACTAAATTATTCAAAACTGAGAGCACGGCCGGAGCGTCCCGATCGAAGGTAAACTGGTCTCTCATCACAAAGCCATACGCGAACTAAGATTTCCGTGAGTCGACTTTCAGGAG